GGATTCAAAGAAATTTTGTGATCAAGTATGGATAGACAGAAGCGAGAAGTAAGAGAACCCCAAATCTTCCAGAGTTGTGCCACTCTAAATAAAATGGCCATTCAATTTTATTTTATTTTAAATAAAACAGAAACATACTATATCTACTCAAAAAATCAGACAGTACATTCTCTGACTTTTTTTTTTTGTTTTTTTTTTGGCCAAGCACATTCTCTGATTTGGAGAAGAATGACGAACGATAAGACAGTAAAAAAAAAAAAAAAAAGTTGGTCCATCCAACTAATTCACTGGCAAGAAGCAGACTTTTCACTAAAAACCTCCGGGACTGTTGGCTTGGTCCTACGACTACAATTGGGAGGCTTTCTTTACATTTCTTTTTGTTGAAGCAAACATGCCAAATGTCCGTAGCTTTCTTCTTGTCGGTTCAAGCCTGGTGAGGTATTCAATTTATGCATTCGCATTCTGCTATGACTTAGACAAGTACGTACACATCACGCGTATTTGTTTATTATTTCTGACTGACCTGCTTGTTGATATTTATTTTAAATGAAATATTTATATTTCTTTTAAAAAATAAGAGAAAGAGATGAAAAAATATATTTTAAAATTTATTTATTTTTACTTAGATTTATGTTTACAAATTTTACTAATTTTTATTTATTAACTTTTATTATATTAATATTAATGAAATTGATATAATAATTATGAATAGAACTAAATGATATCATATCATATCCGTTACATTGTGTCAGAGTTTGACAAGTGCTATGCGTTAGTAGAATTTGGAACAAGTCATATAACTAATATTCAATTTTCCTGCAAGGAATAATTCAAAGTTTATCATCAACTTTGCTGTGGATATATATATCTCCCCGAAGTTTCCTTCAAAAGTCAAAGTCAGAAATGATGTAAGACTAATTAATTCAAAAGGGCAAATGCTATGCCCACTATAAATACATAGCCATTGCTTGTGCTATTACCTGTACCAGAGAGTCGAATCTGAGTTATCATCATCACTCATGTACAAGATGGAATCCAATCGGGCTTCGAGCTTTGTGAGAATTCTGAGAGAATCTCTTCTGATATTTCTGAAACACAAAAGCCTGATGGCCTCCATAGCCTTACTCATCTTTCTTCTCCACTCCTTCCCTCTTCATGCAATTACTTCTCATTATGAATTTGACGCAAGATTTGGTCAAGAAGCAAACTGACTTGCTTCTTTGCAAGTCCAGGTAGCTCTCAGTATATACCGACATCATTGCCGCTATGACATCTTATTTTTCGCAAATTCGTAGGACTCGAATGGCTCTTCATTCTTGCCCTCTTCATGGCATCCTTATTCTCATCAGCCATCACTATCTGGCATCAGCTGTGACTTTGCAGAAGGAAACTTGTCTTTCAGAGATTTGCTGTCAGGAGTATTCAAATCATGTAAAGGCCAATAATCACTTGGTTCTACATATCTCTCTTTGATCTGGGCTATTTGTTTCTTGCATTCTTTTTTGATTTTACCCTTCTCCGTGAACTTTGCTTCTCCATCATTTCACCCAACAACCTTTGTTTATGCTCGTGTTGATTCCGGTGTCAGTGTTTCAAATGTACCTCGCAGTTTTTTGGAAAATGTCTCTTGTCATTTCAGTACTTGAAGAGAAAAGTGGACTAGAGGCATTTGGGAAGGCTTCGCAGATTCTGAAGGGGTTCAAATTACAAGGGTTTCTGCTGAATCTTGTGTATGGAGTAACCTGTTTTTGATTTTGAATTTCTGGTGTACATGAGAGCCTAAGAAAGGAACTTACAATCCACTGTTACTGGGACTAATTTTGACTAAACAGTGGCTGTCTGATTAAGATGTTAGTGGACATGGCGTTCACAGTGTTATACCATAAGTGCAAGCAGAGCCATGGAGAAGAGGTTGTTGAACTGCAAGGAACTTTGAAATACATTAAGGTGTCCAATGAACCAGCAGCGATTGGAGCAGAAATACCATAAGGAATAAAGATGTTATAACTTCTTCACGTATTTGATCATTTATTTTCTCAATTTCAATGCCTGAATTTTCTCTTCCGTTTTGGCCAAAAAAAAAAAACACATTCTCTTCTGTTTCCAATTTGTCAAGTCTCGTGTTATTTTATACATGTATGAATGTAATGCTTTTGAGATTCTAGGACGGCATGGGTGTGACAGAAATAGGTAGATCATGTAAGGAAAAAAGTTTCAGAAAGTTTGGTGAAACAACGAAGAAGAATCAGCAGAAGGAAAACAATTATGCGTGTCCCACTATGTATATATAATATATATATGACATCAAGATAAGTGAACAGAGAAGATATTTCTTTTTTATTTTATTAGATAAGGTCTACGATCCAAGCATGATGTATTCAAATGAAAAAAGCATCCGCATTTGGTTACGGTGCTCATCACCCCTTAGGATGGTCTTGACCTTTTATTTTCCCCTCAAATAATCTCTAAAATTATTAAAAAAAAGGTTTAATATTAAATTTGGACTTTCTACAATATATCTAGATGATCAATTTTGTATTAACAAATTTAATATTAAATTGGCCATTCCATATCTAAATAGTCAATTATAATATTAAATTGAGTCATCTAGATTAAATTTATATTGGCCAAATTGGCAAAACAGATTTATCAAATTTTTACATATTTTTATTTTAATAAATATAAATAAAATAAAAAACTTAAATCTGAAACTATCCAAATCTCATGAGGTAATGAGTAACATGATGTTTATCCTCTAATAAGTATAAAAAAACAGTCCAAATTTAATATTATTTAAAATTTTTATATATTTTTATTTTGATAGATATAATATTAAAATTATTTAAAAACAACAACTTAAAATTAGAGACAGAGATTATTTAAAGGGAAAATGAAGGAGCACCAATGCAGATCCTTACTTTTGCATCAAGTTATGTATAGAAAACTCAAGCACCTAAGTAAACGATAAAACTTTCAGTATTTTATTTAGTGCATGGTACATGTAAGAGCTTTGACTAGTATACACTAGGGACTATTGTGAAGGACTAATCAGTAATCACCTAACCATCAATTTTCCTTCGAGACTAATTCAAACTCATCATTTTATATTGCTCATTGCCATCGTCACCCAAACCGTACGTCAAACTTTGATTAATTAAAATAATATAATCCAGAACATTATTCCCACAGAAATCCCCATTTCGTCGTCTTGTTACGTAAATTATCATATCTCGCTGTAATTTCCTTCCAACGTCAAATGCAATGTGATAATAATACAAGACTAATTCAAAAAGAAAAACGCTAAGCCTAATATAAATAGATAGTCATTGCTTGGTGCGATATATTTCCAGCACCATATGTTCAATCTGAGATATCATCATCATCATCACTCATCTACAAGATGGAATCCAATTCGCTTTAAGCTTCGTTAGAATTCTGAGAGAATCTCTTATCATTTTTCTGAAAAACAAAAGCCTTATGGCCTCCATCGTCTTCCTTATCCTCATCATCCACTCTTTCCTCCTCTTGTGCAGATTCTTCTCCATTAAAGCTGTATGAAAGATTTCGTCATGGAGAAAACTCGCCTGTACGTGACGAGACCAGATAGCTCTCAGCATACCAACATCGTTACTGCTATAACAGAAGATCTACACCTACTTGCAGGACTCGAGTGGTTTTTCATTCTAGCCCTCTCCATGGCCTCCTTATTCTCATCATCCATCACTGTTCTAGCTTCAACTGTAACTTACGGGGACAGAAACTTAACTTTCGGAGATTGCTATCTTGTGCAGTCAAATCAAGTCAAAGGCTTTTAATTACTTGGTTCTACGTATCTCTCTTTGATCTTGGTTACTTTTTCCTCACATTCCTTTCTATTTTCCCCTTCGCTATGAATTTTGCTTCTCCACCTCTTCACCCAAAAACATTCATCTACGTGATATTGTTTCTGGTGGTTGCTCTGTATATGTACCTGTCAATTGTCTGGATTATGTCTGTTGCTATTCAGTAGTTGAAGAAAAGTGGACTTGAAGCGATTGGGAAGGCTTCAGAGATTTGAAGGGATTGAAGGTTCAAGGGTTTCTGCTAAATCTTATGTATGGAGTTCCTGGTTGGATTGTGTTTGTCTGGTGGTTCAAGGTGAGAAAAAGCTGGAGAGGAGATTACTCTTCGCTGTTTGCGGATCTGATATTTTGAACGTTATTTATGTGATTTAGATGTCACTTATGGTGGCATATACAGTGTTTTATCATAAGTGCAAGCAGAGCCATGGAGAAGAGGTTGAAATTCAAGGAAGCTTTGAATACATTAAGGTGTCCCATGAACCCATGATTAGAACATAAAAATTAAGTGCCATAAGGAAGAAAGTTATGATTTTCTTCATGTATTTGATCATTTATTTCTTTTGATGCGTAAACATTTTCCCCTGTGTCCATTCTTTGAAGTGATCTCATGCGTATGTAAATAATTCAACTAATTACAATTAATATGCACACACACACACACGTTTTGATTCATATATTGACAAGAAAATTAAAAAGTGAAATATTTGGCAAGAATAAGGACTGAACCTTGAAGCTCTAATGCTCTACAGTAAGTTTCCAAATCTGTAGTTGAGCTTTAGAAATTTTCAACGTAAATTCATGAAACTCTTTTTAAAATTAGATTGTGGATTTTGAAATCTGCAATGCAATTCAATTTTAAAGGATTAGTCCTTCATTCATATTTCACTATTTTGATTTTTATGCCCAATTTTTATATTGATTCTACGAATTATTTAGTTTCAGAAAATATTTGAAGTTGACTTTGTTTTTATTTATAAAAATTTGCACACAAGTACAACTACTCTAAATAGAACATTTGTTTTTTGAAATCGAAAAGCCTAGTTGCAAACAAATAAAAGAGAAAGACACCATAAAACTAAGACTCAAAAGACTAATAAATAACAAATCAACATTTTTTTTTATCAACATTTTTTTCCTTTTCGCTAAATAACAAATCAGATAAAATTAATTTTGATGGTCGCAAAACTTCCCGGAACAGATAAACAGGGCAGAAGGGAACGAGGGAAGCCTCGGGAAATGGCCTCCACTATTCAGCCACCAATTAACGGTCGCTTTCTATCTTCTCCTTCCTCAAGCTTCCCTGCTCAACATCGCTCTGCTACTATCCTCAAGTAAGTTCAGCTATCGTCTCGTTCGCCCTCTACTTCCCTTCAAGTTCTTTATGGCACTTGTTTCCAACATTAATTCTTTCAATGAACGCGAAACTTACTTCCAGTGAGTTCACCCCTTAATCTGATATCCTCGTATGTTGGGGTTTCCATTTATTTTATATGCGAAGTTTGTGCTGCCGAGATTTCAATGGAAATGAACCCAACTGGGCGCTCGAATCGTCGAAATCAGGATTTTTCTGTAATTAAAATTCTAACCCTAATTCTTCGAACTTATGTTGGCGACTGGTTTAAAAGCGTGAATTTATGGGTATTTTATTTATGAAATGGAACCGTTGCCTATCTTGGTGTGATGGGTAATCAGTAAGTAAGAATGAATCGAAACATTCCATAAAATAAAATAAAATTGAATGATTAGTGATTACTTCTCCATTCAGGTGTCAAATATGAGTATGGAATTTGAACAATAATTTCAGCTTAAACTTGCAGCTTTTCTTGGGGATTCTAAAATATATTTTTCTGCAAGATTAATATTAACATAATTTGTTACGATAACTTGTCGATTCTTTAATAATTGATGTGACAGAAAATAGCATACCACGCAGAACTAGAGTTGATTTTTAACACGGGAATGAAAAAAAGGGGCATCAATCTATTCTGGCAGATTATCGCTAGATTTTGATGAACACCCAGTTAGCCTATGCTATGCTGGGAAGTTTACAATAAAAGTGAGCATTGCCAGTGCGAGGGGTTTCATAACTGAATGGTGGAAGAGCCTAGTCCTCCTACACGGGGGCAGAGGTGTGGATGAATTAATTTTGGTGAAAAGAATAAAGAATGTGGATGGGAGAGAGAAGACAGACATGGAGAATCCGGTGGAGGACTGGCACTTTCAAGAGCTACTCGCGTTTTTTGCTATTTTCGCTAGTAAAAAGTCTCAAGTGCTCATCAGATTTACTCTGTTCTTGACATAATCTGTGAGACTGTCTCTGATAAGCCAGTTAGTTATAGAGCTTTCATTCCATTGAAATTTTAATGAGCTTATGCATGTGAAGCTGAAGATTGGTCAAAATATCTTGTTAGTTGTTGCTGACCCAAAGAAATGGGGATGAAAATAACAATCCCCTTTCATTTCAGGTGGCAATGGAGAAGCGACCAAGATGCGAGTTTAGTTTCCAGCAGAACCAGGGGTCAAGCATTTCGAATATTGGCAAATTCCACTGTATGCATCAAATCTGGACATCTTTATGTTGCTTATATATACGGTTTGAATAGACAAGAAAGTGGGGTGATTTGATTGAGTGATTGGTTGTAGAAACATGTGTGGAGATTATTGGTAAAGAAATTAAATCTACAATGGCTTCTAATATATATCACTCTTAATGATATTAGCAATTTCTTTAATCTTGGTGTCATCTTTTACTTCTGCAACTTGCTTCACTTTAGTGTTTTTTCCTCATACTCACTTGTGTGGTGTGATGACTTATATATAATCTTCTTCCCATTCGTGAAATGTCTGTAAGGGATTCCTCGGGTCCATTGTTGATTTAAAAGAATTGACCTTAGGAGAGGAAGGGATCATATGTCTCTTTCTGAAATTGCTCATAAATTATTGGAAACCATCAAAGTTTTAGGTATGATGTTATTCATCGGTTATTCAATTATGCTGGACTAAACATCTACTGACAAAATGATCCAAATGCATGAGTGAAGCAAAAGAACTGAAAATTGTGAGAGAAAGGCAAGGAATGATGAAGGTAGAAGTGGTGCTATAACTAGGAGTTATACCCTTTTAAACACTTTTTGAACTATATTTGTGAATCAGTTGGCCCAGAAAAGGGTGGACTATGGCTGTGAACAACTGACCTGGCACATCCAAATCAGTCCTGATCCTAGTGCTTGTGTAGTTGGCCCTACTATGAGACATTAAGGATGCTTGTTATATCCGTTTTGTGATTAATACAATTGCTGACTGCTGGAAAAGTTGATAAATCATTTGTGTCTGAATGCGGTGCTATAAAATTTGTGATCATGATCATTTATATGCTAGACATCCACATCAAGCTCTGTTACTGCCTTTTGGCACTCTATTAGAAGATAAGGAATGCTATCTTCTTCGGTAATAGTGTCTCCCTTGGGCCATGACATGCTAATTTCATGCAAACTAATTGGGTCATTTGTTAAACTAATATACTATAATATTTGTGCCATTTAATATACTATAATGAAATCTCTCTCTGGAAAATTTCGAGTTCTATGACCTTCTGCTGGTAATATTTGTTGTCTCCCATCTTTAGCTTGTGTTAAGATAACAAATAATTGTCTGTTCCCTGACAGACTAATTCATTACTGTCTGAGAGTAATTAACTATGCTCTTTATGGCATGCTATCTTTCCTTTAATGAAATCTTCATTTTTCATTAATGCTACAGGTTTCTTCAGGGAAAGATGGTTCAAAAAATGATGTTATCATGGTTGATCCTGTGGAAGCCAAGCGATTGGCTGCCAAACAAATGGAAAAAATTAAAGCTAGGGAGAAGCTCAAGGTGAATGAAATTTTTATTTGGATTTGATACGGTCTACCTTTGTATGAATCGAATACAATTGATCTCTTTTTTCTCTTTCTACTTTCTTTGGGGGAGAGTTGTTGGGGTGATATTTTCTCTTTCAAGAGGTCCAGTATGTTCTTCCCTTATATCCCGTAAGAAATTTTGGCAATCCAAGTGAATTGGGAATTGCTTGTTTTCCAATAATTTTTGCCATCAAATGAGGATGGCATGTGTTACTTGGCTGCTGCTGAATTGTAGTTTCCCAACCAGTTGGAAACCTACTTATAAAATGTCCAGACTTGTCGGAGACTGAAATTTCATAATATTGTGTTGTATATTTTTACATAGATACACGCGCTCAATATTCTTATACATGTTTCCTGATGCATGGTATTCACCCATTTATGATATGCTTTAATGTTATTTTAGGAGTGTAATAGAAGTTTAGTCAGTCTGTTTCCTCCCACTACTGTTGGGAACCAAAATTGTTTGTCAATAATTGCACAGGTAGTCTAGTGTAGCCATGTCAGTCTATTCAATTGAACCAACTTAATGTTGTGACTGTAGAGGAGACGTCAAATTGAGGCGATCAATGGCGCATGGGCGATGATTGGTCTCACAGCAGGCTTGGTTGTTGAGGGTAAAACCGGAAAAGTCATTCTAATGCAGTGAAAATATATAAGTTTTTGACACTTGTTCATATCCTTAAGTCATGTACACATGGTTCTTGCTTGAACACGATTATGCAACGCGCCCATGTACTCCAAAGCACAAAAAACGCCCAAGTGGAGCAGCATTTTGCATATAGTCAACATCTCTTGGTTCCATTTGGCTTAAAATTTTACTGGGATGATATATAAACATTTTTTTTCCTTTCAGTTGGCAGATTACTTGAGTGCAATTATTCATGTTTTTGTGCGGTAGACCCTTCCAAGAGCCGAGAGGTGTTTGGGTACATATTCAAGAACGACAGATTCTTTCGCACATTCTTTGCCGTCGATATGTGCAAGCTATACCAGTAAGATTAATTTTCGATTTTTCCTCACATGTATAAGGCCATGCAAATTGCATCACTTAGCTTTCCTGTAACCTGTTAGTATACTGCCTATCCTACATGTTACTTCAGAATTAAGATTCTGGCAATCAATTCAGTTTTGTTATGTGGGGTTTATTATTTTCATTGTTCTGTGTCTGCTGGCACTAATTCTCAGTTCACCGGATAATTTATAGCAGTAATAATTCCACGGTTCACTGCTCTCATATGGCCATGAAGACAAATTAATTTGCTAACAAGAAGTGAAATACCTTTTCACACTTGGGTCGTTCCAATTTTCAGCATGTTGATTAGTTATCGTCTTTCTGTCTTTAGTGTAGGTAAGTTTGTAGGATAGTGCATGTGAGCTTCTAAATCTTCTATTTGGAGTCAAGGTATCAGAAGGGACTTGCTGTCATATGATTCCTCAATGCAGGATAAATATGTGCTGGTGAAGGAAACTCGTATCAATACAATTCATGTGTAAGTTCATGATGTTTCTAGTGTTACTGCAAAACTCAACTTTAGCACTCATTACAAGAAAACGAACAAAAAATTTCAACTGAAGCATCTGCTGGAAAAAAATGTTTGTTATTTATTTTTATTTTTATTTTTTTATTGTCCATAGATGTCTTTGTATTGGAAGATTTTTTTTTTTTTTTTTTTTTGGAGACACGGTCGAACACCACACGAGACATTGAATTCTCGTTATTGGAATTGAATCTCTTTAATATGGGTCTTGAAGTAGAATATTTTGAATTAATAACGTGCTATGGACCTTCTAAGCACTGTGGCCTATAGGCCCAATTTCAAGCAACCAAAAACTTAAGGACATTCTCTCATTATGGAGAGTTCCCTGTGTTCTGTTAAAACAAAAAAACAAAAACAAAAAGAAATTTCCCTGTATCCCATTTTCCCTTGCAACAGAAAGCAAGAAGAAACATAGACAACAAAATATATCTACACTTTTTTTATAAGTTCAAAATATATATACACTAACGGCAAAGGAAATACAAGAAGAAAAGGAAGAAGGGAAGGAAGAGATTAACAGTTACTAATTGCATGTTTTTCTAAATTTGATGACAATGTCAAGTACGGCCTAGAATCTTCTAGATATAGTTTCCTTCATGGTGTGTACCGTAAACAGAAAAGCTTATACAATATATAAACTAGATCTTTGCTTCACTATTCTTTAAGAGAACATAACTTACTCCTTTTTTTTTATTTGGCATTAATAGCAAGCTAAATAAGATTTAATTTGTATCTTTTTGGAAAATTTTGGATTTGTTTTATGGCATTGTATGCCTAAGGATAACCCACCAATGATTGCATAACATATATTTGCAAGATCTAGGATCTTAGTTGATATATGCATATATTCATTTTATCCCCGGGTGGTGGAATATCCAAATTTTCAATATGTCTCTTGTTTTATGAAGCCAGTGTTTGTTTTTTTAAGTCCTTGTTCTGATCTTATGAAGTCAAAAAGGAAGAAAAGTAAATAATATTAAAAGAATAATCGAAGCCAGATCATGCAGTCCAATCCACATTACATGCGACCCCCCCAAAAAAGAAAGCCTTTGTTTGAAACTTGACTGCAATAAATTGATGACTAAGACCCAAAAAAAAAGGAGAAATGACAAGGAAGGACTCAAAAAAAAAATGTCAAATCAAGATTTTTTTAACTCTAAAATATGAGAGATCACTTAAGATGCTGAATTTGAAATCAAATTGATTTGTTTATAATTAAAGTTTTCAAATTCAGTATCTTTTCTTTCGTATTTTAATATTAAAATTCTTGATTTGACATGAATTTTTTATGAAGTCCTTGATTGTCATTCTTTAAAAAAAAAAAAAGTGCACTTGTATTTATATTTTTGATGTAAGATCATGACTTGGCGTATAGCAAGGTATGGAGGGCATACCATATAAAGCACAGAACAACTGGCAGCAAGTATAAGTTGAGTTCGGAATTTGAATATTCAATGAAACGGAAAGAATAATAAGCTGGTACACTAAATACATTGTTGGAATTATGGATATGCCTTGATGGGAATCATATCATTATGTTGAAGCAATCAGTCGATCCGACATTATTCCAGTAATAATGACTTAACTGAAATCATGAATTAATGCAAAATTAATTTCTGATTAAATTTCAAAATGAGAAATTAAATACTCCTCCACAATGATGGTGATTATCCCAATCAGTTTATTCCCTCCATAATAAGATAAATTAATGCTAATTAAATTTTTTTTTTCAGTGACTTCCTCTCACTATAAATAGAGACAAGTGGCTAGACAAAAAATTCACTCCAAAACAAATAATTTTCTTAGTGTTTTTTCTTCTACTCTTTCTCTTTTTTCTCTATTCAATGCATCCGTTGTATATTTTAGTTTAAACTCTCATGTAAATAGTTAAGTAAATTTTGCTACATCCGAATCTAGTAAAACTCTGACCCGACTTGTGTTTTGATATACTCCCTCTGTCTCAAATTATAGAGTATCTTTGAAGGAATTTCTCCGCCCCAAAACATAAGACATTTTAAGTATATTATTGTTTTATTAAATACACAAATTTTAATATTATTCTTTCTTTCTCTATAATTAATTCACATCTCTTTTCTTTTTAATATATTAAATTATGAGTATCTTTAAAAGTTTTTATTTGTTTTTTAAAAAGATAAGATTGTTAAGTATAGTTAACAAGATTTATTAATATGTAAAATTTTATTTAAAAATATTTTATAATTTGAGATGAAAGGAGTATTATTTATGTTTAAAATCCCTTCATGTACAAATGTAGAAGAGAAGGTATAAAGCACGAGGAACCAATACACGCACATATAAAGGCATGTTGACGCATGTTGTTACAATATCTAATTTGGCCAAACAACCTAGTTGAGCAGTGCACATGATATTTCAACTGTTTATAGTTTCTTAGGTTTACGATCACATCAATGAGCTTTTCATTCCCACAAGATTTAGTTACGAGAAGGTCCCTCAAATAACTTCTCCCGTTCCAAACGACATTTTCATCACTTTGCTGGTATCACTTCCTTTTCCTTCCAGCTGGCCATAGGATATGATACGGCACGCTGATCTTCTATGGTAATGTTGCTATCATTTTAAACACAGACACATCACTGTGTTTTTATTAGCTCATGAGGAAAAAAAGAATTAGATTTTTAGAGGATAATTATTAATTAAAAGTTAAAGGGCATTTTGGATTTAAACTATACGTTCATGAGCATTTCCAACTCTAAACTTATTTTTGTTGTGTTGTTCCACTTTAATTTTTAAACATTGGTAATGTCACTTTTATTATTAACAAAAATTAACTTTAATAATTAGTTAATAAAAAAATGACAGAAAAAATAAAGAAATTTTTTTTGTTCTTTTCTGTAATTTTTTGGTCCTTGTATGTAATTTTTGGTTTTTTCAATAATTTTTGAAGTTATTTTCTAATCAACTAATGATCAAAATTAATTTTTATTAACAGTAGAAGCGATATTGCATAATTTTTAAAAGTTGAAGGAGATCATTGTATCATAAATGAATTCATAGTGTTTTAGACACTCTTGCCATTTAACCTGATAATTAATGTAATATTCTAAGTTTTATTATTTGGTAGCTGTCAAGCCCATCAAATTATGGAAGATTTGATGAACTAATATTTCAGTAGTTATAACTCCTAGATCAATAATAAGAGCATGTGCTTAAAATGGTTTTGTAATTTGTAAACATTATCCCTACTATCAACTAATTATGTCTGTCAATACGGGTAATGGAAATTTCCTACCACATGATCCACACTAAAATTGATGACCATACGGCTTCAAGTATTGGAATTATTTTTTACGTCTGTTATATATATATATATATATAAAACAGTACTATTAAGTGGGATTTATGAGCACATCTTCAAAAAAAAAAGTGAGTATTTACTCTAGTTGGAAAGTTCAGCATGCGCATTATATAGATGTTAAATCTGTATTTTTTGAAACTCCCTTATAATGATATGGTAAGGTCCACTAACTTTTTTTGCCATATATGGTTTTTTCCATAATGAATCATGTTCGTTCCTTAAAAAAAAAAAATTGATGACGACTACAAACCCTGCACAAATTATTCAATCTTTTGACCTTCAAGTCAAACAAAATTTTTATCTCTAGAATTATGGGAAAAAATTTTATTAGCTAAGTTGACTCCAAAATTATTCCGTTTATATCATTATGCATTTGAAATAAATTTTTTTAAGCCTTTAATTTGCCAACAAATTAGCATGAATCAATCTTATATTTCATAGAAACATTTGAATTTTGTTGTTAAAGTAAAAACTAACTTAAGATCGAACTCAATGGAACTTTTATTTAACTTATCAAAATAAAATTGAATGTTAGTAAATGAAGAAAGTGGAACAAATTGGAGGTATTTGAATAGTAAGAGAAGGATATAAAGTGGAAGAAAATAGAGAGAGAGAGAGAGAGAGAGAGAGAGAGAGAGAGAAGAGGGTAGGTAGGAATAGTTGGCGAAAGTGGAAAGAAGAGGGAAAACGTATATACAGTGAAAGTGGGAAGTAGATAAGTCAACAAAAGAAGCAGTTTCCCAGGAAAGAGGCATTGTTGGATGAAACCCAACAAAAGATGAAGATAGAGATTGATACGAAACTGAAGGAGGAAGCTATGCAATCAGTCCATTGGACAAAGTTTGTTTCAATTACAACTCCCCCTCCTCTCCTCTCCTTCACGCATGAACCAATCTCTCTCAAACGTGGCTCTTTTTGCCTCCAACCATTTCTTCTTCTTCTTCTTCCACTTACTTTTCTAATCCTATCTAACCCCCCCCCCCACCCAGAAATAAAACTACGAGAATTATAGTTAAGGATCCAAGTGATGAGTTATTTGCAGATCAACCACCTTCAATTTCCAAAATTATTGTGGAATATCAAAGTTCCCATATGGAACAAGGGATGTACTTAATTTTGTAGTCATACATAACAAATTTAACAGTCATATATATATATATATATATATTTCCTTGGTTTTTACTTATGGAAGAAACTATTATTTTTAGTTTATTATTTTATATAAACAAAATTATATTTTTTAATAAAGATTTATTATAAACTTTTTAAATTATCTCTCATAATTTTATCATTCCTAATCATAAGAAATAATTAATGAATACTTGATTAACATAATTAATGAAGTGTATTTTTGTTTAAATTTTTTATACTGTCTAATACAGTTTTTTTTTTATAAGAATGAAAGGAGTATATATATTGGGATTTGATACTAGGATAGAAACTTGGGAAAATCACATAGAGACCCATGGGAGAATTCTAATTCTTAATCACTAAAAAATCTCATAAAAATGACTCTAAAGTCCCATGTCAAGCTTTAATAAGTTTTAGTATGCATTTAGTGCTAATTAGTTGTCGCCACCATCAATTGCCAGCCAAATAGTGACCGGCGCGCGCAATTACGAGAAGAGATTTTTTAAAATAAAAACATTTTAGTAAATACACTCCAAAAATTGTTTTTAATTAAAGCCTACGGACAAAGTTGTCAAATTTATAAATTTAAGTAAACTCGTGATAGAAGTTTAAATTTGAATTACTAATTCAGATTGTAAACTCATAAACCCTATTAATAAATAACTATTAAAATATGATCATAAATTTAATTTAAATATATTTAAAATATAAATCATTAAAATTAAACTTATTTA